TGACGGAAAAGTACGGAGCGAGCTTCACAAGAAAGGGTCCTAACACTCTAGGAATGTATATATATATATATATACATATGTAATATATATATATAAATGTTAAAATATAACATATATGTTTACAAGATACATTTACATTACATCACACACGCACACTATATGTATATGTCACACACACACACTGTGTTTGTATATGCATATGTATAGGTATATTTTTTGTATGCATACATACGCATACGCATATTGCGAGGCATACCTGGAGTGAGGTCAGCTGGGACATCTGGGACGCTGTGTGCATGCTCCCCTTGTCCTGCACATTTTGTGCGTCCATGCGTCGTTTGCCAAATGGAATTGGCAAGGCTTTGCGAACTCGCAGCCGTTTTGGTTAGGTGGAGAAACGTAGGAAGGATAGTAGGACCCATTAGTTATGGTGACCCTCTTGAGCTTGCTCGCGGTGCTGCTTTTGCCAGCGACGCTGGCAGAAGACTGTAAAGACGGCGCGTGTAGCAAGGAGAAGGGCAAGGCCGGTGGTTGTCTTTGGACATATACGACAATTTCCATCACATACTTGACGTTTCGTGCTTTGGATGAAGAGGACTTCCTATGCCTAAAGAGGTTGGTAAAGATATTGGTGGTCGCTTGCCGGTTCTTGTTGGAATGTTTTGATCGCGGAAATGCATGGTGGGCCAGGTGCCAGGAGTGCTATTGATGCAAACCAAGCCTGGGAGCTTATTGAAAAGCGCTTCGAGCATACCAGATATTTCCACCGTCTTGGCAGAGGTGCAGGGATTGAAGCAGCAAATGGATACGATGATGTCCTCAGTCCAGGCGGTTCAAACGAAGGCGTGGGGCGACAGCCGGGCATCCGGAGCCAGCGCGTTGTCCAACGGCGAAGAGCGCCGCCGAGCCAAGTTCCTGCGGTCCGGAACCATTGGTTTCTGAAGAAGCGAGTTTACACCTGACATATGCTAGAGTTGAAAAATGGAAGGGCAAGAGCAATAAACTATAGTTTAGCCTTATGACGCACGTAATCCAATTCCTGTTGAGTCCACAGCAGCGCAGTAACGACCCGTGCCGTGGGGCGACAGGTGCAATCCTGCTGCTCTTGCGACAAAGTGACGGACACCTTCAACCGGGAGAACACGGGCATTTGTGCGGTCTTTGGGGACCCCCATTTTGTGACGTTTGATGGAGCCCAGACCACCTTGGTGGGGGATCATGTGACATGGCTGGTGAAGACAGATCAGATGCACTTGCAGACCTTGGAAAAGGGCAGTGAGGGCTTTCTCATGGGCTTTGCCGCTGGGGGGGCCCTTCCTGCAAGGCCACCGGCTGGTGGTCTTCAAGGATTCGGAACACGGTCCGGTCCATGTGACCTTTGATGGGACCGAGATCCTGCAGGCGGAGGTGGATGAGTTCCACAATTCCGAGGTTGGGGTCTCTGCCTATCGTCGGGAAAACTGGGATCCAGAGCTCTTTGATGACAGGATCTTGAACCTTCGCACGAAGATGCCTTTCACGATTGGCGACTTCGAGGACCGCTTCAAGAACCTGGTGACAACTGGCGTCTACTTGATCACGCTGCCCAACCAGCTGCATGTCACCATCACAGGCGGGATCGAAACTGATTTCAACCATCGAGCATTTGGTTCACACGTCATGAGTGATTCAGAAACGGAGACCTGCCCAAATCTGCTTCTGCTGGAGGTGTGGACTTCCTTTCCCTGGTGATCTCAATGCCCAAGCAGGGCGGCGAGACGGGCTACTGCGGGAACTTCAACGGGGACCCAGACGACGACGCCGAGCCCGTCGTGCCTCAATGGGACAAGCCCGTGGGCCCCAACCTTGAGGACTTGCCTCCGGCCCAGCGGCTCTTCTCCAATGAGACGGTGCTGCTGTTGCTTGGGGAGGAGGCGGTGCGGACAGAGGCCAGGTCCGAGGAGGAAGAGATGAAGCACAAGTTGAAGCGTGTGACCGAATGCCCCAAGGTCCTACTACAGAAGGCAGAGGAGGCCTGCAGTGGCCTTACCGAGGCCTATCACAAGTTCTGTGTCTTTGATGTGTGCCTCAGTCAGAACTTGGCGTCCGCGAAGTCGGTGAGTGCTGCTGCGGTGATCCAGCATAAGATGAATGCCCGAGGGGTACCGATCTTCATGGGTCATGGGCGATGCATGGACAGCCAGGGCCGCGGCTACTTCAGCTACCCCACCAAGCTTAGGACCGACACCGCGTGTCAACAAGTCTTGCGGACCCTGAGCTTGACCGATGGCGTCATGGGAGCTCAGCTGAAACGTGGTGGCTTTTGCGAGGCGGGGACGGATAGAGATGCTCGATCCATAGCAGATCCATTTAGACAGTAGATGTCCTCATGGGATCTCATGGGTTGGAATTCGAGAGCAGGAAACTGAGGACACCCACCAAATTCAGCCACAAACCGGTCTAAGAAATGTCTTCAGACCAGTTCATCGCCTGAAACTCTGCTTTCTTCGCAGGTCTTAACGATGAAAGAGGTGGATCCGACCAACGTGGCCATCCCGGGTGGCTGGGGCCTCCCGGCCCAGCCGACCCCGGAGGAGGACGTCCAGATCGCCATGGCGCCCGAGGTGGTGCGAGCGAGCGCAGCGAAGAATGCGGCGCATGAGGCGGAGGCTGTGGAGGGGCAGAATGTCGAAGGAGACCGGGATGCGAGGGTGGTGGTGTAAGCTTTTGAAGGGATTCTTGCCTTTAGGAGTAGTTTTGGGCTCTTTATCTTCCCCCTCAAGCCAATCCAAGGAGATGGCACGGGTGTCATCGCTGGCGCCACAGATGAGGCCTCCTACAACTGCTGGCAGTTGAATTGAGCCTTTTTCGCGTGGGAGCGCAGGTTGATACAGTGCATGAGGTTTTGAGAAACTGAACTTTTCCGGCCGCACTGCCACGCCTGAGAGTTGCAATGTATTTTCATAAAGCAAATTCACTGAAGGTGCATCACAATGATCACCCTTATGGCCGAGGAGGAAAGGGACATATACATACCGGAAGCATTCGTAGATGCAGGGCATGTAGATCAAGAAGACCCGACAAAGGAACAATGCTAAAACATGATAATTAAAATTAAAACAAATAGAACATAAAAGAGAAAAGGAACAGGATCAACAAAAATAACTTAATCGTCCACTGGTCCCCAAGTGTGCCCGGGGTCTCCGGTTCCAGTAGTTCGCTGGCGCTTCGTCTCCTGGTCCACTGGTCCGCTGGTGCGCTGGTTTGCGGTGGTCTTCTTCTTTGTAACTTCTCGGCCTCTTGATCCTTCAAGTTATTTACTGTATTCAATTTTGGCGGTCAGCCCCATCTTGCAGCCAGAACTGGGGAGGCCCTCTGTGGCGAGACCGCTTTTTGCCAAAATGAAGGCCAGAAATACACCGGAACATTTTATGCAGTTTCTATTTTTGGCGTTCTTTTGCACTTGGACAAATCAATGGCCAACCCCACGCCCAAGCATCTGTTCCGAATGGTTGAGCAAAAGTGTGGAGCACACCGTTTGAAGAAGTACCGGGACTACAATGTTAAGGTGTTGCGTTTAGTGGGTTTCTGTTGGTCTTTGCGTTTTCTTGGAAGCCCCTCACTCCGACCCAATTAAAACTTTGTACACGGCAAGCGGGGTGTCGCTACCGCGCATTGTAATAGAGGGCCCGAGTGGTACCGAAGTGGTACCGAGGCGGTACCTCGCATTGTGCCAATAATAGAGTGGGCCCGAGGGGTTCCGAGGTCGTACCACCTCTAATAGAGGGTCCGAGCGGTACTGAAGCGGTACCGGGCGGTACCGCGCACAGTAATATACCCGAGCGGGCCGAGGTGGCACCGAGGCGGTGCCGTGCACTGTAGTAGACGGCCCGACCCAACCCAGAGCTTGATTGTCGCCGCGAAAACTTCTGTATGGCCCGCCCGGGCCGCAGCCTGGCGTTGTTGGCAGCATCCAGAGTGGGAGCTTGCAACAAACAACAAAGACATGAGCGCAAAGCCTCAACAACTTCTTTTCAAAACCCCATCCTTCACAGCACGCATCAAACAACAATGTCAAATACAACGAAACAAGGTTTCCTTGCCATACTGAACAACCAGAGATGGCTCCTGAACACTGGCCTGTAAACATGCGCAAACATGGCAGGCTCCACGGCGCCAAACCTTCGCGTAACATCTCCCCACCCTTCTTCCCTCCAATCCCAAACTAAGACAGACCAAAACAATGAAGACTGGCTGAGACTGGGTCAGAACGTTTGGCCTCGGAGCAGCATTTGGAGCTCCCCAGGCTCGATCTGTGTGGCAGGCGTGGCACTTTCAGTACCTTCATGGAGGCCTGCGGAGGCTTGGCGACGAGCCTGTCCTGTGTGGACGCCGCCTCGTTTTGTGTGGCGGGTGCAGCGTTTCGAGCTCGCCAGGCTCGATCTGTGTGGCAGGCGTGGCACTGTCAGTACCTTCATAGAGGTCTGTGTTGTGGTAACAGGACAATGACAGGCATCTTCAACCACTGAGGGGTGACGTAGCGACGTAGCAAGGACTTGGTGGCCCTGGAAGAACAACTACAAGCACAAGACGCACTCGCTAAGGCTGCGATGGGTTTGGTGGGCCTTGGTTCACCACTTTCGATGTCATTGTCAGCTGGACATGACCTGCAGACCGCTTACACCATCTGCTTGCGGTTGTCTTTGATGTCAGGAGCCATGATATGATTTGCGCCCACGACGACCCAGGCACAAGTATCCACAGCACTGGGATAAAAAACGAAAACAACATCGGTCTGGTAGATTGCAGTGTGCTCTCTGCCAGATCGTTGCTGTTTTCGTTTTCTGTCCCCAACCAGACGCTGTATTATTGTGGTGCATGTAAGTCAGTGACCATCCTTTTCGCGCATCTGGAAGAAGTTGCCATCATATATATCTGTGGAAGCGGGTGAACCCTTTACCAAGCAGTCTGAGTGTAACTCTGTCTGCGTGGGCTGTCACCAAGTTGGCCTGTGTGGAGGGTCGCAAGTTCCTGCGTGCCGAAGCGCCTTGCAGATCCACCCAGAACTTGCATATCGGGGAGGCCGAACCCTTTACCAAGCAGTCCGCGTAACTCTATATGCATGGGCTGTCACCGAGTTGGCCGCTGTGTGGAGGGTCGCAAGTTCCTGCGTGTTGGGGCCAGCATCCTTCTGGATATGACAGTTGCTACGATGCGCCAATGTAGCTACTGGCGCGTACCGATATTTCATTTCAATGATCGGGGAATCCGGTGACGTGCCTTGCTGATCCCACCGGAACTTGCATATCTGGGAGGCCATTGGCATACACCAAAAGACAGCGGAATGAACCAAAAAAGGGGACGCACTGCCGTTCAATCACATTGATTCAGTCACTCTTCAAGTGTTTTTGCTCTGCTCCATTTGAGAGTGTGGGTTCTGTTTCCTTGTTACTCTGGATTGCAGGTATGGGTTGCGGACACCCTCGTGGGTAGCTGAGCTGCTTGCATAGTCCCATGTGATCGTTTTCTCCACTGCTGACGTGCTCAGGTCGCTACCTTCGTCCTTACCAAACAGTTCAACTGCGGTTGTGCTGACACCACGTTGGCCGGTGGTGGGGGCGTTCATGGGAGGCTGTGAGACCCATTACGATCTGCATGACGACGTGAGAGATGTAATAGCGCATAACTCAACATTCGTCTAACAGCACTTCTCGACATAAAACACCCGTCACGAGATACAGCATCACCCACTCGACCCCCCTTACATATCTCCACTCATCTCACTCCGCTCGCACTCATCAGTTTATCATCCGTTCCATGACACACCCAACACCTTACATGTCTCCACTTGCCTCAGTCTACTCTCAGTTTATCTTCTTTTTCTTCTTCTTCTTCTGTTTCGATGTGTGTTTCTTTTTTTGGGGCTCCGCTCTAGTCACTTCTATCTTCAAAGAGTTGTTATCATGGGGGGGGGTTTATCCGGTCCTATAATCTTTGATCAAGAACATCATCGTACATGCCAAACGCTTTCAAAGCTCACTGGTTTTTCCACTTTTTGGTCCTCCAAGGTGATTTTTCTGGACACCAGTTTGGGGTCCAAAAGCTGTAGCAAAAACCGGTCTCGCCACAGGGCTTATTAGGGGGAAGAAAGCATTTGGCATGTACGATGTTCTTTATAAAGAACCAAGCTTACAGATCAACGGTCAGCTGCTTTCTACGTAGTTTGATTGCGGCCTTGCGCGCTTGGTGCGTGTTGGTTTGCTACAATGCTTGTGGTGGACATCCGCCATGGGTCAACCTAGCGCCCTTAGGCCAAACGTTGTGAACCCAGTCTTCATTGTTTTTGTCTGTCTTAGTTTTGGATGAGAGGGGTGAAGGGTGGAGCCTGCCATGTTTGCGCATGTTTAGATCGCGAAGGCCCACACCAACCCCCCCTCGACCACCCCCTCTTAATTCCCTATCAAGACTTGGCAGCGGAAATAGAATAGAACCCAGATTTATTGCCAATCAAAGCTAGAGCACCGGAAGTAGGATAGGAAAACATGCACTCCCGCACAAATTCCGGTGGCTATCCTGGAATCACTGTCAGAGAGAACGCGGGAAAAAGTGCATTCTGTCACTAAACCCGCTGTTCTTGTGGAGCCATGTTTCTCTCATTCCTTCTTGAAATCTGCCTTATTTGTGTCAATTTTTTTCCCTTATGCTTCCAGTTTCCTTGAAAATCCTGATTGTTATCCGACTTTCATCAACAACTTCTTAATTCTTCATTCTGGGATAAGAGTTCGTACGAAGTTCGTCCGATGCCTAGAAGAGGCCTAAGTGAAAACAAATCCTGAGCAAGCAAGGCTCAAAAGGTCCCACAGGACCCGAAAGCCAAAGCATCCAAAGGCCAAAATTTCACATCCAACGTGTCCATTGTTCAAGATGCAAAGTGTCAAATGGCAACCGTTGTGCAGCGCAAATTTTAACTGCACGTCTCCAACCTGCGAGGGAGACACGTGAATCGCTCTACTACAGGTAAGCAAGACAAAAAAAAACGGTTGTAATGTAGGCAAGAAAGACAAAAATCTCACAGGGCGCCGCGCTTGCCAGGAAATCTGCGCATCCAGGTTCACAAAGTGCTGCGCCTGCCACACAAGTCAACATTTCGAAGTCCGCCAAGTGCTGTGCCTGCCACGCACTTGCACTTTGACCTAGCGCTATGCGTGCCACAAAAATTCACTTAGAGGTCCGTGCCAAGTGTTGCGTTTGGCACAAAATCTGCAAACATGCCATGCCTGCCACGACGGCGTGCTGTTGTTTCTCTTCAATTTTTTTGTGTTTTATCCCTTGTCGGTCCTTTTTTGAAAACTCCAACCTGCGAGATGTAGATGTATATAGAGCGCCATTGATCGTGCATTAAACTATTTCGGCCAAGGTGAACCACGAATCAAGATGAAACACTTTGCAGGCTATTTTTTGGAGGCTCCGGCTTTTGCAGTGGGATCGGGGCCACAGACATACCTCGACCCCCTCGCCTGCGTGCGTGTCGCTGGCAAAGTCCTGCATCCGCCCGGCTTTGTTTCAGGGCGCTGCTTTTGAATATAGGGTTGGGCCAAACGATTGACCCGAGCCAGGGGAGAGAACATAAGTGATTGGATGTCTCAGTCTTTTCCGTGGAAGGGCAGCGTTGTTTTCCGGGCATTGCATCTGAGCCCAACCATGAATTCAGAAACGCCAGGGC